TGAATTGTAACCGACGAAACTCTCCTGATTTGTGTTCTAGTGGCAAGACCCGAATAAAACCCGAAATTTTTTTTCCTTTGACCCGACCCGAATCAATATTTTTTACTTTAACCCGAACCCGACCCGAGACAATCGGATCCGACCCGACCCGCGGGTCGACCCGACTCGTTTCGGTCTCTGTAGCTTATCCTAAAAGTCAACTTAAAAACAAAGATATCTTGAGCACTTTTACTGCTTAAACACAATGTTTTCTTTAAGAAATTGTGTAAGGAGAAAGAAGCTCTGGTAAAAAAATTCAAAAAAGCGCAAGTTGATAATATCTAAATCGGTTCATTTTTCCTCGCAATTCAATGTCCAACCCTACCATAAAATTGACTCATTTCAGACATAATTGCTCCTCTAGATAAAACGAACGAAAAAGCTCAGAATTTAACTTGATCTCAAACATTTTACTGACTTTTTATCTAATTTTAAATTTTCTCTCATAATATTCATTTTAAAAAATTAAAAATGACATATTTTTTGTGTAACTCCATGAGCTCTTTCGGCATCTCTTTCCGACTTTGAGCATATAAATCATAAATAAATCATTTATGATTTCATCAGTCAGCATCTACGTCCATCTTTCTCATACATATTTGATTACTCAGATAAACGTTCCATTCTGCGCTGGATTTCAAATGAGTAAACAGCATAGATGAATTATGTCATGCGTATCAGTCAAAGAATGAATAATAACTAGTCAAAAATTTAGTATAAATATCAATAGCTAGTCTTCACAATCAATAAAATCATTATTATCATTCCCAAGCAATAAGAATAAGATAATAACATATTACAGTGGAGGCTATGGAGTTGGCGGCATTATTAATCTAGAATTTGAACACGATCGAATTGATTACGGTCAATATGGTTATGGCTTGTACGAAACAGACCGTGATTATGAACGTAATCCATTTACGGGGCAAATAAGTACTGAAAATGATTTCAGTTTCACGCCATTGGATGGCGGTTATGGTGGAGGATATCGTTATTATTAAAATTAATCATTTTACGCTAAGATAGTTTGAAGATTTTCCTCAAAGATTTATTTTCTGATTTATAATGAATCATGATTTTAAAATAAAATATCATTAACTATCCACTATCTTGCTAAATATACCGTGGTAAAGATAGATTTTAATTCATCTCTCTTTTAGCCTCTGTTGATGAACAAACACGGTTTTCTGTTAGTTCAATGTTTATAACTTGTAAGGAGTTTAAGTTATCGAAAGCTTAATTTGTGTATTTGGACCCAATAAGGTAATTTTTACCTTACTGGGCCCTACCCATCTTTTTCCACCAGTTTGTCGAGGACACTTCGGAGTATATCTCCCAACAAAGCTTTCGGTTCCCGGATTTATAGCTTTTGATTAAAAAAAATTTATTATTAAATTTATTAAAAAGACCTAAGGCTTAAAGCCTTAAGGAGCCATTGCACGGTAGAGACAGCCGTTTCTCTTGAGCCGTTAAGTTGCTCAATCAATGTCTGAGTTTTTTGTTCATACTTGCATAGTCTAGGTTTAATGTACAAACACAGTGGTTCTTACAAGTAAAAGCATACGTTTTAATTTGATTACATATCCTAAAAGTCAGAGAGAGAAGAGAACAGTAGGTATGTTACAAACCCAAACCCAAGTCTGGACTTGGGTTTGGGTATTGGGTGCCCAAGTCTGAGACTTGGGTTTGGATATTGGGTCATACTTGGGTTATTAAAAGACTCCTTTTAACTGAGATACCTTCTTTTGCTGTGGCTCTTTGAGAAAACAGGATGTAAGATGTTTATTTCGGCCCGTGGGCATACGTAATGCCTAACGCTAACGATAAGAGCTCATTTTGGATTAGTTCAAATATCCAACAGTTGAATGTTTTATTCTACTTATCTTGTTCATATCATCCTGATCCTTGAAACAGAGAAAAATACCAAAAAAATAAGCACTGATAACATGCCACAAATATGTTAACAAATGATCGGTGTACACTATAAAAAATGATGTAAAAGAATAGGGAAAACTAAAGAAAAAAAGTGAAGTTTTGAAAGCGAAAACAGCGACGATGAAGAGAAAAAGATAAATGAATAGTATGGCAGAAGATCGTAAGGTACTCCTGCTAAGTTTCATTGAAGAAGAATATTAATGTACTTTGGCAACTGACCCAAACCCAAGTCTTAGACTTGGGTACCCAATACCCAAACCCAAGTCCGAGACTTGGGTACCCAATACCCAGACCCAATACACCCAAGTCGCTTGGGTCTGGGTTTGGGTTTGTAACATACCTAGAGAACAGGAGAGAGAAACAATCACTTTAACTTCGAAATAAGAAGCAAAACATAAACAGAATCTATTTGAACATGTAAAAGGACAAGCAGAATACGAAGCAGTATCTGCACAATTATGTAGAAAAAAATACACAAGAAGCGTAGCATTCTTAATTTAGTTTAGTTTTACTGCCGCTTATTAGTTACTGCTATCCGTTCCAAAATACGGTGGTCGTGAGTGTTTTGCTAATAACTTTTCACAGAGATGAGATAGCAATCTGCGGTTTTCACTATTAAATAACCTGACCTTAAGACATGTTTTCGTAAGCAGAAACTTGTTTCAAAATTTTCTGTAAGTTCAATTTTCCAGAGGATCTTTGAAAAACCTGCTCCGTTCTCAGAAAACTAACATACAATGTTACTAACTTTTTTGCATGCACAGGTAGTCTGAACGTTACTCTACAAAATTATGCAAGTCCCAGCTCTCCAGTTACCGTCGTTCGGACAGGGGTCGCTTTCCCCGAGCACGTGTCTATCTCAGAGTAGACATCTCTGGGAATCTCGAAGTGCCATGGAATATACGTAATCGACTACGCTGAGTATAGTGGTAACATTTGTTTTTGTGTAGAAATGAAAATAACTTCATCAGAGGTATTTTTGTGAAAAACCAGTTTTTCACCTGTTATTAGCAAAAATTAAAATCCTTATATCTCGGTCAAATCTCATGTTGACTCAAGAAAATTTTCAGGAAACGCTCGGAACAGCTCATAAGTCATGAATGACGACGAAGATGGTGAGTTTCAGCTGGGCATTGGTTTAAGGTTTTCCGGAAACCTTCTGAAAAACCTCAAAGCCTCAGTGTTCTGGTGGACCACTTTTTCGGCGTGATCAACAATATATGGGGCCTTTTAAGTCTTTCTTGAAAATTTCCTTGAGTCAACATGAGATTTGACCGAGATATAAGGATTTTAATTTTTGCCAATAACCAAGAGCATGTACAAAAATAACTGTTGCACATGTGCGAACACGGATTCTTACATAAGAAGTCACGAAAATGGCAAGGTTTTCGTACGAATCTGATAAGAATCAGGTAAGATTTAAATAAGAATGCGCTATGCCTTTGATAAAGTGCTCCTATCACTTTCTTATGAAACTCTTACTAAAACCCAATCACCGTTTTATTTTGCAGAAGCACCTACTATAGAAGCACCACTGATTTCTTGGAAAGTTTTTCAAAGTTTCTTCAAAGTAGGTAAGACTGGTGGTCTTGGAGATGCTTCGCGACCTCTTACACACTCATTAATGAACTACACAACTAACTCGAGAAGGAGAAAAAACACCGGAAGTTTTTATCAGTTCCTACCCTTTTCTTGTCGAAACGTTACAGGATTCTTAACTGACCCTTATCTGCTTTTTATAAAATTCTTGTCGCGTTCATGTGGACTTCTTATGCAAGCTTTTAATAAGAATCTAATAAGATTCTTATACGACTCGTAGCGGATTCGTGTAAATTTCGAATCGATTACTAAGAAATTAGCGAGAGGACTTTCGCATAATTTCTTCTTACCTGAAAACTATGTTCTTGCATTTAATATTACTTATCTCTATTGCATAGGTGCATCTCTACTATAAACTATGAATTCATTTTATACAAGTCCCTTAACTGTTGTACGGATGAGCTCAAAAAGCGGGTAGAATATGAAAAATGGCCTATTTGATCAGCACTCATGCCAGGCTGTCAAACTGTACTTTCGGATTTCTGGCATGTTCGACTTCAGTTTTGCTGAGTCATTACAACAAATTTTGCAAGGAACCGTTGTAATAAATCAGCAAAACTGAAGTCGAATATGCGATAAATCCGAAAATATAGTTTAACAGACTGATATGAGTATTGATCAAATACGGTTTAGTATACTGTTTGTTCTTTTACATGACTCGTTTACACTTCTCAGTGAGACTACTTATAACGTTTGATATACAACATGAATTTCTTTCAAAATTTAGCTTCATATATTATTATTGTAGTAGTCCAAAGTTACGATGAAAAATTAAAAAAAAATTGCTGTCTTTTTTATTTAGACCAACTAAGAGACCTTGTTCCTTCGAATTTTAATCCAATTTGTAGTTTGCTATAAAGCGCGAAAGATTATGCGCAGAAAAACTGGATTCATAGGTAATCAACTATGGTGCATCCAACGGGTATATTCGCGAGATCTTCAAAGGGCCTTCAGGGGTCACCGAAGGTTCTCGGAGAGATGTCCAGAAAACCTTTCAGGATTTATTGAAATATGAAACTCTAACAAAATACTTGCAGAAATAGCCCGCTACGGCCTGTCCAATGGGCATATTATCAAAACCCTCTGATAATCTTCAAAGGATTTTCAGAAAAACTTTTCGTAAAGCCATTCCAATTTGGATGGACCAGACGATTCGAGTGCAGCACGCCCAATGAAAGCATGCGATTTCCAGAATTAGTAAATTTTTTAATAAGATACTATATAACAAGAGTACCATTTTCGTATGTTCCATCCGATTTCAAGGCTACCTGGAATCACTGGATACCAGTCCTAAGGTTTCAGGAAAATCCGATTCCACGCCCGAATCAGTGAAAACCAAGATCTCGCTTGGCTTCCATCTTAAAGAGGACACTTTGGGTTATCCGTCCATGAAGGCAAACGAAAGTATTTGTACTTGAAGATTTTGAGCTAGGAGTTGGTTTTCCAAAGATCTCTCTATAAACCTACTTTAAAAAAATATTTTCGAATTAATATCTATTATAAAACTGTGTCTCAAAGTCTCTTCTTTTGAATGGTGAAAACCCGAACTCTCTACCACATACAATTACCGAGACACTCAAAAAATAGTCGGGGGCATTGTATTTCGTAACGGATCGTAGTATGTAATGAATCTAATGAATTTATTTTATTTTATTATTTTCTCTACTAATAGAAAAAAATTTTGCTCTCCGCAAGGTAACTTTATAGAGCCACAGTCATATATTATAAAAAATATTTTACTTTAATAATTTAATAAGCCAAAGATTTTCTATAAGACTTTTAAATTTTTTAAAAAGAATTTAAAATAATATTTTATAAAATTAACTTTTTTAAAATTCTATATTATAATATAAGTAAGCACACTATTATAGTTATTTGTACCAAATTACAGAAAAATTCGTTTTTGTTTTGTGTAAAATTTTTCTATTATTTAAAAGTGGTCGAATTTTGTATTAGTCCCACTGAGAAGTGTAAACGAGTCATGTTCAAATAGATTCTGTTTATGTTTTGCTTCTTATTTCAAAGTTAAAGTGATTGTTTCTCTCTCCTGTTCTCTTCTCTCTCTGACTTTTAAGATATGTAATCAAATTAAAATGTATGCTTTTACTTGTAAGAACCACTGTGTTTGTACATTAAACCATGACTGTTTGTAAAAATTAATGAAATTAAAGGAATTTTAGTTTACTGCTCTGAATCGTTTATATATTTCTGAATTATTATAATCAAAAGGTCAATCAACAGGCATGTAGAAGAAAGTATCTGTTTTCTATAAGTAGCACATATACAAAAAACACTATTGTTAATTTGAAATATTTCTCTGTTGAAGGATCAAATTCACATTTATCACGTTTTAAAGTTCAAGTATAAGCAGCATCATCCTCTAAAGTCGTGCGACCTAAGAAAATCAAAGACCTAGGAAAAATCATTTGGTTTTGTCTCATTCCCTGAAGCACTTAATTAAGAAAAA